GCTGGTCACGTTGTGTATTTGTGTTGCTGGTGACTTTGTGTATTTGTGTTGCTGGTGACTTTGTGTATTTGTGTTGCTGGTGACTTTGTGTATTTGTGTTGCTGGTGACTTTGTGTATTTGTGTTGCTGGTGACTTTGTGTGTTTGTGTTGCAAGGTGACTTTGTGTATTTGTGTTGCTGGTGACTTTGTGTATTTGTGTTGCTGGTGACTTTGTGTATTTGTGTTGCTGGTGACTTTGTGTGTTTGTGTGGCTGGTGACTTTGTGTATTTGTATTGCTGGTGACTTTGTGTATTTGTGTTGCTGGTGACTTTGTGTGTTTGTGTTGCTGGTGACTTTGTGTATTTGTGTTGCTGGTGACTTTGTGTATTTGTGTTGCTGGTGACTTTGTGTATTTGTGTTGCAGGTGACTACTTTGTGTGTTTGTGTTGCTGGTGACTTTGTGTATTTGTGTTGCTGGTGACTAATTTGTGTGTTTGTGTTGCTGGTGACTTTGTGTGTTTGTGTTGCTGGTCACTTTGTGTGTTTATGTTGCTGGTAACTTTGTGTATTTGTGTTCCTGGTCACGTTGTGTATTTGTGTTGCTGGTGACTTTGTGTATTTGTGTTGCTGGTGACTTTGTTGTATTTGTGTTGCTGGTGACTTTGTGTACTTGTGTTGCTGGTCACGTTGTGTATTTGTGTTGCTGGTGACTTTGTGTATTTATGTTGCTGGTGACTTTGTGTATTTGTGTTGCTGGTGACTTTGTGTATTTGTGTTGCTGGTGACTTTGTGTATTTGTGTTGCTGGTGACTTTGTGTGTTTGTGTTGCAAGGTGACTTTGTGTATTTGTGTTGCTGGTGACTTTGTGTATTTGTGTTGCTGGTGACTTTGTGTATTTGTGTTGCTGGTGACTTTGTGTGTTTGTGTGGCTGGTGACTTTGTGTATTTGTATTGCTGGTGACTTTGTGTATTTGTGTTGCTGGTGACTTTGTGTGTTTGTGTTGCTGGTGACTTTGTGTATTTGTGTTGCTGGTGACTTTGTGTATTTGTGTTGCTGGTGACTTTGTGTATTTGTGTTGCTGGCGACTTTGTGTGTTTGTGTTGCTGGTCACTTTGTGTGTTTATGTTGCTGGTAACTTTGTGTATTTGTGTTCCTGGTCACGTTGTGTATTTGTGTTGCTGGTGACTTTGTGTATTTGTGTTGCTGGTGACTTTGTGTATTTGTGTTGCTGGTGACTTTGTGTACTTGTTTTGCTGGTCACGTTGTGTATTTGTGTTGCTGGTGACTTTGTGTATTTGTGTTGCTGGTGACTTTGTGTATTTGTGTTGCTGGTGACTTTGTGTATTTGTGTTGCTGGTGACTTTGTGTATTTGTGTTGCTGGTGACTTTGTGTGTTTGTGTTGCAAGGTGACTTTGTGTATTTGTGTTGCTGGTGACTTTGTGTATTTGTGTTGCTGGTGACTTTGTGTGTTTGTGTTGCTGGTGACTTTGTGTATTTGCGTTGCTGGTGACTTTGTGTATTTGTGTTGCAAGGTGACTTTGTGTGTTTGTGTTGCTGGTGACTTTGTGTATTTGTGTTGCTGGTGACTTTGTGTATTTGTGTTGCAGGTGACTACTTTGTGTGTTTGTGTTGCTGGTGACTTTGTGTATTTGTGTTGCTGGTGACTACTTTGTGTGTTTGTGTTGCTGGTGACTTTGTGTGTTTGTGTTGCTGGTGACTTTGTGTATTTCGTATCGGAATCGCCTCCAGTGCTGTTGCTGCTGGCGGCAATAAAAGTTGTTTACAAAGTCAAAAAGTCTCTCCGTATGCGTCACGAACGCGTTACGTGCGTGTCACGAATGCATCACGTGCGCGTCACGCACGCGTCACGAGCGCGTCACGATCGTGTCACGAGCGCGTCACGAACGCGTTTCCATTGTACCGCTGCACTCCGAAGCAGCAAGGCCGCGTGTCTGCGTGTGGCTGCTGTGATGTGTAAAACAGAAACGATACTTAGCAAGAGAGAGAGAGAGACGAGTATCAGGCGGAGACAGGTATTGACGACTTACCCGTCTTCTTCTGCTCATTTATTTCATGTCAGTTCCATGTATTTGGTGTGGCCCTGTGAGCCATCCGGCTCTCGAATCGGGTGGAACCGCGTAACAAACAGAAACGTGAACAAGAAAAAAACGTCTTAAAGCGGCCACGCGCGAACAGAAAAATCCAGGGAAAAAAACCAGCAAAAAAAACCCAGCAAAAATCACCGCATATCAACGCTGTGCGTACTAACATCCCAGTGGGATGCAAGTCAAACAATAACAACCATGAGACAATTTAGATGAAAGTTATCAGGCTAACTCTGTACAACAACAACAAATAAATACGGCTAAACCGAAACGTTTTCGAAATCACCAAAATACAGCTATGAAAACAAGGTAACAGTGATCATAGGAACTGTGATTCAAATATAAAAATACACGATCTAGATAACATGTACCACTAAACTTCTCCCTTCGAGGGCTTCGTCGCCAGATGACGATTAGACTTGTGGATAAACACTACTCCTGCTTATCATTGGGAGCCAGGCTCGATCCACTGCTGGATAAAGGCCTAATCCCCATTGCAGTGTCAGTCAAGCTACATGGGGAGTTGTTGTTGTTTGACCATGATGTCTTAATCTCCATCTAGCACTGGATCGATCACGGTGGTGGTGGTGGTGGTTACACCGAGAGAGGAGCACGTGGATCTGAGTGGAGACACCACCCACCATCACATCAATCTCCATCCAGCAGTGGATCGATCACGGTGGTGGTAGTGGTGGTTACACACCGAGAGAGAGAGGAGCACGTGGATCTGAGTGGAGACACCACCCACCATCACATCAATCTCCATCCAGCAGTGGATCGAGCCTTGCAGCTGCTGCTGCTGCCTATAGAGGAAGACGACCCCCAGTGTGCAGGGACTTCAACTTGACCCGCTGTGGGTGAGGGGAGCGAGGCAGGGAGGGGGAGGGGAGCCGAGCGGGCGAGCGAGCGAGCGAGAAATGAGGAATGGCTTTGTGCAGATTGAGCTCGGCGACTGTGAGGGGGTCTTGTGGCGCGGCGCGAGGAGCGGTGGCGCAGCGGTTAGCGCGTCACGCTACGAACACGGCCAGCCGAGTTGGCTTTCCCGCTCACGGAACCCCACGGAGCGGTGATGCCGAGTCTCTGAACCGGTTCTGGGCACCCCCACCCCACCCCTAGGTCGACTCAGCCTCAAATGAGTAACCGGTGCGATGTGTTAAAAAACAAAAAAAAACTTCGCCACTGGGGAGACAAAGGCGGCCGGGCGTGGTGCTGGCCACCCACCCACCCCCTCGCGTGTGCCGTGCCGGCCTTCACAAGGTGCTGCTCGCTACTAACAGCACTTGCCCCTACAGTCTGTGAAGGCAACACGGGGGACCTTTGTCTTTGTTGCGTGGCGGGGAGCGGTGGCGCAGTGGTTGGCGCACTGCACTCGGATAATGATGATCGACATCGGCTTGAAAGTGAGTACAGCAGCGACGTCTGTGCCGGGGGAGACAAAGGCGGCCGGGCGTGGTTCTGGCCTGCAAAACCCGCTCTGAACACCGTGACGGACTTCACAAGCGCTGCTCGCTAACAGCACTTGCCCCTGCAGTCTATTAAGGCTACACAGGGTGGAGGGTCTTTGTCTCTGTGTATTTGACCCCGAGGCAGTTGTGGCGAGAACCACGCCCGGCCGCCTTTGTCTCCCCAGGTACTCATTTGAGACTGAGTCGACCTAGGGGAGGCCCAGGACCGGTTCAGACAATCGTCACCGCCGGTGTTGGCCGTGAGCGGGAATCGAACCCGGGACACCAGGTTCGTAGCGCTAACCGCTACACTACCGCTCCCCACTATACACACACCTACACAATCACACCTACACACACACCTACACAACAACAACCGCCATTCGCCACTAAGTGGCGGTGACGTCACCACGACGCTTGTGCCAGGCCAGGTGCACCTTGAGGCCACGTGAAGTGTTGAACGCCCGCTGGCAGGAGGTCACGGGGCAGACCCAGGTGCCACGACTGACTGAGATGACTGAGATGACTGGCTGATGCACCACCTGTGCCCCCTACTGTGTCAACCTGCTGTGCTTTAGCCACCCGGCGCTCAGCTCGTTGTTGTGAGCGTCGCTCCTCCGCCTTCCGTTGTTGTTGGAGGGCGACTGCCTCCAACTGCCCAGTAGCAGCGTCCTTCACGAGCCTCCTCCACAGAGGCCGATCTTGACACCGCTGGTACCAGTCATCGGCAAGTCCACTCAGCTCCACGTTCTCCTGTACCACATCACTCCATCTCTTCTCTAGCCCGTGCCGCGCCCGTTTAGCCCCCTCGATCCGGCCGAACAAAAGCTGTTTCGGCATGCGGTGGCTGGGCATGCGGGCTACATGACCCAGCCATCGCAGCCTTGCCCGCCGGAGGAGCTCACGGATGGGACCTTGCCCAGATCTTTCAATGATTTGTGAGCTCCTCACACAATCCAGCCTGGTTCAACCCAGGATGGATCGTAGGCAGGCTAGCCTAAATGTTTCTACCGGCGAAGATGTTCCATTAGGGGGGTCCACGTTTCGCAAGCGTAGAGAAGGGAGGGAATGACCGTGGCCGAGAAGACCTGAAGCTTAGTGCGGAGCGACAGACCAGGTAGCTTCCACACAGCGTTACGCAACCGATGAAAAGATATTGCCGCTCGACTGATTCGGAGTGAGACCTCTGCTGTTAAACTAGAGCCGGTCACACACACACACCTACACACACACACCTACACACACACACCTACACACACACACCTACACACACTCTCATTCTTCGAACTACAATTCCCCCTATTTCTCTCTCCCACTCTCCCTTTCTCTGCCTCCCTCTCTCCCTCCCTCCCTCTCTCCCCCTCTCTCCCCCTCCCCGTGTCTCTCTCCCCCTCCCTCTCTCTCCCCCTCTCACCCTCCCCGTGTCTCTCGTCCCAAGCGAGCACACAAGGCTCCTTTCGTAAGGCGCCCTCGCTCGCTCTCTCGCTCTCTCGCCCCCTCTCCATCCATCATCACTTCATTGCGGCTGCTGCTGCTGCTGCGTCTTCTTCTCCTTACAACCACGAGTCGCGCGTCTCCCTCCGTGCGTCTCCCTCCGTGCGTCTCCCTCCGTGCGTCTCTCTCCACGCGTCTCTCTCCACGCGTCTCTCTCCACGCGTCTCTCTGTGTCTCTCTGTCTTCGTGTCTAAATATTTCGAGCGCTATGCATTTCTCACCCCTAGGTGTCTCTCTCACCCCTAGGTGTCTCTCACCCCCTAGGTGTCTCTCTCACCCCTAGGTGTCTCTCTCTCACCCCTAGGTGTCTCTCTCACCCCTAGGTGTCTCTCTCTCACCCCTAGGCGTCTCTATCACCCCCTAGGTGTCTCTCTCACCCCCTAGGTGTCTCTCTCACCCCCTAGGTGTCTCTCTCACCCCCTAGGTGTCTCTATCTCCCCGTAGGTGTCTCTCTCGCCCCTAGGTGTCTCTCACCCCCTAGGTGTCTCTCTCACCCCTAGGTGTCTCTCTCTCACCCCTAGGTGTCTCTCTCACCCCTAGGTGTCTCTCTCTCCCCCCTAGGCGTCTCTCTCACCCCCTAGGTGTCTCTCTCACCCCCTAGGTGTCTCTCTCACCCCCTAGGTGTCTCTCTCACCCCCTAGGTGTCTCTCTCACCCCCTAGGTGTCTCTCTCACCCCCTAGGTGTCTCTCCCACCCCCTAGGTGTCTCTCTCCCCCCCTAGGTGTCTCTATCACCCCCTAGGTGTCTCTCTCACCCCCTAGGTGTCTCTCTCACCCCTAGGTGTCTCTCTCACCCCCTAGGTGTCTCTCTCTCCCCCCCTAGGTGTCTCTCTCATCCCTAGGTGTCTCTCCCACCCCCTAGGTGTCTCTCTCACCCCCTAGGTGTCTCTCTCACCCCTAGGTGTCTCTCTCACCCCTAGGTGTCTCTCTCACCCCTAGGTGTCTCTCTCACCCCTAGGTGTCTATCTCACCCCTAGGTGTCTCTCTCACCTCCTAGGTGTCTCTCTGACCCCTAGGTGTCTCTCTCACCCCCTAGGTGTCTCTCTCCCCCCCTAGGTGTCTCTCTCACCCCTAGGTGTCTCTCTCACCCCCTAGGTGTCTCTCTCACCCCCTAGGTGTCTCTTTCTCCCCCCCTAGGTGTCTCTCTCTCACCCCTAGGTGTCTCTCTCTCACCCCTAGGTGTCTCTCTCACCCCCTAGGTGTCTCTCTCTCACCCCTAGGTGTCTCTCTCACCCCCTAGGTGTCTCTCTCACCCCTAGGTGTCTCTCCCACCCCCTAGGTGTCTCTCTCACCCCTAGGTGTCTCTCTCACCCCCTAGGTGTCTCTATCTCTCACCCCTAGATGTCTCTCTCACCCCTAGGTGTCTCTCCCACCCCCTAGGTGTCTCTCTCACCCATAGGTGTCACTCTCACCCCCTAGGTGTCTCTCTCTCCCCCCCTAGGTGTCTCTCTCTCACCCCCTAGGTGTCTCTCCCACCCCCTAGGTGTCTCTCTCACCCCTAGGTGTCTCTCTCTCACCCCCTAGGTGTCTCTCCCACCCCTAGGTGTCTCTCTCACCCCCTAGGTGTCTCTCTCACCCCCTAGGTGTCTCTCCCACCCCCTAGGTGTCTCTCTCCCCCCCTAGGTGTCTCCCTCACCCCCTAGGTGTCTCTCTCTCACCCCTTAGGGGTCTCTCTCACCCATAGGTGTCTCTCTCACCCCCTAGGTGTCTCTCTCTCCCCCCCTAGGTGTCTCTCTCATCCCTAGGTGTCTCTCCCACCCCCTAGGTGTCTCTCTCACCCCTAGGTGTCTCTCTCACCCCTAGGTGTCTCTCTCACCCCCTAGGTGTCTCTCTCACCCCTAGGTGTCTCTCCCACCCCCTAGGTGTCTCTCTCACCCCTAGGTGTCTATCTCACCCCTAGGTGTCTCTCTCACCCCCTAGGTGTCTCTCTCACCCCTAGGTGTCTCTCTCACCCCCTAGGTGTCTCTCTCCCCCCCTAGGTGTCTCTCTCACCCCTAGGTGTCTCTCTCTCCCCCCCTAGGTGTCTCTCTCTTACCCCCTAGGTGTCTCTCCCACCCCTAGGTGTCTCTCCCACCCCTAGGTGTCTCTCTCACCCCCTAGGTGTCTCTCTCACCCCCTAGGTGTCTTTCTCACCCCCTAGGTGTCTCTCTCACCCCCTAGGTGTCTCTCTCTCTCTCACCCCTAGGTGTCTTTCTCACCCCTGGGTGTCTCTCCCACCCCCCTAGGTGTCTCTCTCACCCCCTAGGTGTCTCTCTCCCACCCCTACGTGTCTCTCCCACCCCCGAGGTGTCTGTCTCACCCCCTAGGTGTCTCTCTCTCTCACCCCTAGGTGTCTCTCTCACCCCCTAGGTGTCTCTCTCTCACCCCTAGGTGTCTCTCTCACCCCTAGGTGTCTCTGTCTCCCCCCCTAGGTGTCTCTCTCCCCCTAGGTGTCTTTCTCACCACTAGGTGTCTCTCTCACCGCTAGGTGTCTCTCTCACCCCCTAGGTGTCTCTCTCACCCCCTAGGTGTCTCTCTCTCTCCCCCCTAGGTGTCTCTCTCACCCCCTAGGTGTCTCTCTCACCCCTAGGTGTCTCTCTCACCCCCTAGGTGTCTCTCTCACCCCCTAGGTGTCTCTCTCCCACCTATAGGTGTCTCTCTCTCTCACCCCTAGGTGTCTCTCTCACCCCTAGGTGTCTCTCTCACCCCTAGGTGTCTCTCTCACCCCTAGATGTCTCTGTCTCACCCCCTAGGTGTCTTTCTCTCACCCCTAGGTGTCTCTCTCACCCCCTAGGTGTCTCTCTCACCCCCTAGGTGTCTCTCTCCCACCCCTAGGTGTCTCTCTCACCCCTAGGTGTCTCTCTCACCCCTAGGTGTCTCTCTCACCCCTAGGTGTCTCTCTCACCCCTAGGTGTCGCACTCTCACCCCTAGGTGTCTCTCTCTCCCCCTAGGTGTCTCTCACACCCCTAGGTGTCTCTCTCAACCCTAGGTGTCTCTCTCTCTCCCCCCCTAGGTGTCTCTCTCACCCCTAGGTGTCTCTCCCACCCCCTAGGTGTCTCTCTCACCCCTAGGTGTCTCTCTCACCCCTAGGTGTCTCTCTCACCCCCTAGGTGTCTCTCTCACCCCTAGGTGTCTCTCCCACCCCCTAGGTGTCTCTCTCACCCCTAGGTGTCTCTCTCACCCCTAGGTGTCTCTCTAACCCCCTAGGTGTCTCTCTCACCCCTAGGTGTCTCTCTCACCCTCTAGGTGTCTCTCTCCCCCCCTAGGTGTCTCTCTCACCCCTAGGTGTCTCTCTCACCCCTAGGTGTCTCTCTCACCCCCTAGGTGTCTCTCTCTCCCCCCCTAGGTGTCTCTCTCTCACCCCCTAGGTGTCTCTCCCACCCCCTAGGTGTCTCTCTCACCCCTAGGTGTCTCTCTATCATCCCCTAGGTGTCTCTCCCACCCCTAGGTGTCTCTCTCTCCCCCCTAGGTGTCTCTCTCACCCCCTAGGTGTCTCTCTCCCCCCCTAGGTGTCTCTCTCACCCCCTAGGTGTCTCTCTCACCCCCCTAGGTGTCTCTCTCACCCCCTAGGTGTCTCTCTCACCCCCTAGGTGTCTCTCTCTCCCCCCCTAGGTGTCTCTCTCACCCCTAGGTGTCTCTCCCACCTCCTAGGTGTCTCTCTCACCCCTAGGTGTCTCTCTCACCCCTAGGTGTCTCTCTCACCCCCGAGGTGTCTCTCTCACCCCTAGGTGTCTCTCCCACCCCCTAGGTGTCTCTCTCACCCCTAGGTGTCTCTCTCACCGCTAGGTGTCTCTCTCACCCCCTAGGTGTCTCTCTCACCCCTAGGTGTCTCTCTCACCCCCTAGGTGTCTCTCTCCCCCCTTAGGTGTCTCTCTCACCCCTAGGTGTCTCTCTCACCCCTAGGTGTCTCTCTCTCCCCCCCTAGGTGTCTCTCTCTCACCCCCTAGGTGTCTCTCCCACCCCTAGGTGTCTCTCCCACCCCTAGGTGTCTCTCTCACCCCCTAGGTGTCTCTCTCACGCCCTAGGTGTCTCTCTCACCCCCTAGTTGTCTCTCTCACCCCTAGGTGTCTCTCTCTCTCACCCCTAGGTGTCTCTCTCACCCCTAGGTGTCTCTCCCACCCCCCTAGGTGTCTCTCTCACCCCCTAGGTGTCTCTCTCCCACCCCTAGGTGTCTCTCCCACCCCCTAGGTGTCTCTCTCACCCCCTAGGTGTCTCTCTCTCACCCCTAGGTGTCTCTCTCACCCCCTAGGTGTCTCTCTCTCACCCCCTACGTGTCTCTCTCACCCCTAGGTGTCTCTCTCACCCCTAGGTGTCTCTCTCACCCCTAGGTGTCTCTCTCCCACCCCTAGGTGTCTCTCTCTCACCCCTAGGTGTCTCTCTCACCCCTAGGTGTCTCTCTCACCCCTAGGTGTCTCTCTCACCCCTAGGTGTCTCTCTCTCACCCCTACGTGTCTCTCTCACCCCCTAGGTGTCTCTCTCACCCCCTAAGTGTCTCTCTCACCCCTAGGTGTCTCTCTCACCCCCTAAGTGTCTCTCTCCCACCCCTAGGTGTCTCTCTCACCCCTAGGTGTCTCTCTCACCCCTAGGTGTCTCTCTCACCCTTAGGTGTCTCTCTCACCCCTAGGTGTCTCTCTCTCACCCCTAGGTGTCTCTCACACCCCCTAGGTGTCTCTCTCTCACCCCTAGTTGTCTCTCTCTCCCCCTAGGTGTCTCTCTCTCCCCCTAGGTGTCTCTCACACCCCTAGGTGTCTCTATCACCCCTAGGTGTCTCTCTCACCCCCTAGGTGTCTCTCTCACCCCCTAGGTGTCTCTCTCACCCCTAGGTGTCTCTCTCACCTCTAGGTGTCTCTCTCACCCCTAGGTGTCTCTCTCACCCCTAGGTGTCTCTCTCACCCCCTAGGTGTCTCTCTCACCCCTAGGTGTCTCTCTCACCCCCTAGGTGTCTCTCTCACCCCCTAGGTGTCTCTCTCACCCCTAGGTGTCTCTCTCACCCCGTAGGTGTCTCTCTCACCCCCTAGGTGTCTCTCTCTCTCACCCCCTAGGTGTCTCTCTCACCCCTAGGTGTCTCTCTCACCCCCTAGGTGTCTCTCTCACCCCCTAGGTGTCTCTCTCACCCCTAGGTGTCTCTCTCACCCCTAGGTGTCTCTCTCACCCCCTAGGTGTCTCTCTCACCCCCCTAGGCGTCTCTCTGTGCCACTGTGCGAGTTTCCCCGTGTCTCTGTCTTTCTCTGCGTCTCTCCGTCTCAATCGAGCCCTGCGTGAGTCTCTCTGTGTCTCTCCGTGTCCCTCCACGTCTCTGTCTCTCTCTGTGTCTCTACTTGTCTCTGTGTGTGTGTGTCTGTGTGTGTGTGTCTGTCTCTCCGTGTCTCTCCGTGTCTCTACTTGTCTCTGTGTGTCTCTGTCTCTGTGTGTGTCTCCCCGTGTCTCTCTCTCTCTCTCCGTGTCTCTACTTGTCTCTGTCTCCGCGTGTCTCTCCCTGTCTCCGTGTTTCTACTCGTCTGTGTGTGTGTGTGTGTCTCTCCCCGTGTCTCTCCCTGTCTCCGTGTTTCTACTCGTCTCTCAGTGTGTGTGTCTCTCCCCGTGTCTCTCTCTGTCTCCGTGTCTCGACTCGTCTCTCTGTGTGTCTCTGTCTCCCCGTGTCTCTTCACTTCACCAAGAGGGCAGCAGTGACGAGTCGGGGAGACGCTGGCGGGAGGAGACCACGCGGATTACCACCACGGACACAACGCAAACTTGTAGAGACGACGCCGGGAGAGACGAGGAGGCGACAGCAATGGGTGGGGGGACATCGTGGATGGGATAGCCACGATCACGGACGTCTCGAAGGTGAGCGAGCATCGCGAGGGAGACAAAGGCGGCCGGGAGGGGTGCTGGTCACCTCGCCCGTAGTGAGCCGTGCCCGCCTTCAGAGGTGACAGCACTTGCCCCAACAGTCGGTGAAGGTTACACGGGGCTTCTTTGTTGCGCGTACGCTCACAGGTGAACTCACGCACAAAGACAAAGATCACCCGGATGGGTTGCAACAGACTGTTGGGGCAAGAGGCGTGAGCGAGCACCGACGGAGGTCGAAAACACGCACACACACACACTGACACACACACACGGACACACACACACTGACACACACACACTGACACACACAGACACACACACACTGACACACACACACACGGACACACACACACTGACACACACACACTGACACACACACACACGGACACACATAGACACACACACACACGGACACACACACACGGACACACACTTACACACACACACTGACACACACACACTGACACACACACACACTGACACTATTAGACTCACACTGACACACACACACTGACACACACACACTGACACACACAGACACACACTGACACACACACACACTGACACACATAGACACACACACACACGGACACACACACACGGACACACACTTACACACACACACTGACACACACACTGACACACACACATACTGACACACACACACACTGACACTATTAGACTCACACTGACACACACGCACTGACACACACACACTGACACACACACTGACACACACACTGACACACACAGACACACATAGACACACACACACACACGGACACACACACACGGACACACACAGACACACACTGACACACAAACACACTGACACACACATGCACTGACACACACACACTGACACACACACACACTGACACACACACACACACACTGACACACACAGACACACATAGATACACACACACTGTCACTCATAGACTCACACTGACACTCATAGACTAACACACTGACACTCATAGACTCACACTGACCCTCATAGACTCACACACTGACACTCATAGACTCACACACTGACACTCATAGACTCACACACTGATACTCATAGACTCACACTGACACTCATAGACTCACACTGACACTCATAGACTCACACTGACACTCATAGACTCACACACTGACACTCATAGACTCACACTGACACTCATAGACTCACACACTGACACTCAAAGACTCACACTGACACTCAAAGACTCACACACTGACAGTCATAGACCCACACTGACACTCATAGACTCACACTGACACTCATAGACTCACACACTGACACTCATAGACTCACACTGACACTCATAGACTCACACTGACACTCATAGACTCACACTGACACTCTTAGACTCACACACTGACACTCATAGACTCACACTGACACTTATAGACTCACACACTGACACTTATAGACTCACACACTGACACTCATAGACTCACACTGACACTCATAGACTCACACTGACACTCATAGACTCACACTGACACTCTTAGACTCACACACTGACACTCATAGACTCACAGACACTCATAGACTCACACATTGACACTCTTAGACTCACACTGACACTCATAGACTCACACACTGATAATCATAGACTCACACTGACACTCATAGACTCACACTGACAATCATAGACTCACACTGACACTCATAGACTCACACTGACACTCTTAGACTCACACACTGACACTCTTAGACTCACACACTGACACTCATAGACTCACACTGACACTCATAGACTAACACTGACACTGATAGACTCACTCACTGACACTCATAGACTCACACTGACACTCATAGACTCACACACTGACACTCATAGACTCACAAACTGACACTCTTAGACTCACACTGACACTCATAGACTAACACTGACACTGATAGACTCACTCACTGACACTCATAGACTCACACACTGACACATAGACTCACACTGACACTCATAGACTCACACTGACACTCATAGACACACACTGACACACACGCACTGACACATACACACACTGACACACACACACACACTGACAGACACACACACACACTGACACTCATAGACTCTTACTGACACTCATAGACTCACACTGACACTCATAGACTCACACTGACACTCATAGACTCACACACTGACACACATAGACTCACATTTACACTCATAGACTCACACTGACACTCATAGACTCTCTTACTGACACTCACAGACTCACATTGACACTCATAGACTCACACACTGACACTCATAGACTCACACTGACACTCTTAGACTCACACACTGACACTCATAGACTCACACTGACACTCATAGACTCACACACTGACACTCAAAGACTCACACTGACACTCAAAGACTCACACACTGACAGTCATAGACCCACACTGACACTCATAGACTCACACTGACACTCATAGACTCACACACTGACACTCATAGACTCACACTGACACTCATAGACTCACACTGACACTCATAGACTCACACTGACACTCTTAGACTCACACACTGACACTCATAGACTCACACTGACACTTATAGACTCACACACTGACACTTATAGACTCACACACTGACACTCATAGACTCACACTGACACTCATAGACTCACACTGACACTCATAGACTCACACTGACACTCTTAGACTCACACACTGACACTCATAGACTCACAGACACTCATAGACTCACACATTGACACTCTTAGACTCACACTGACACTCATAGACTCACACACTGATAATCATAGACTCACACTGACACTCATAGACTCACACTGACACTGATAGACTCACTCATTGACACTCATAGACTCACACTGACACTCATAGACTCACACACTGACACTCATAGACTCACACTGACACTTATAGACTCACACACTGACACTCATAGACTCACACTGACAATCATAGACTCACACTGACACTCATAGACTCACACTGACACTCTTAGACTCACACACTGACACTCTTAGACTCACACACTGACACTCATAGACTCACACTGACACTCATAGACTAACACTGACACTGATAGACTCACTCACTGACACTCATAGACTCACACTGACACTCATAGACTCACACACTGACACTCATAGACTCACACACTGACACTCTTAGACTCACACTGACACTCATAGACTAACACTGACACTGATAGACTCACTCGCTGACACTCATAGACTCACACACTGACACATAGACTCACACTGACACTCATAGACTCACACTGACACTCATAGACACACACTGACACACACGCACTGACACATACACACACTGACACACACACACACACTGACAGACACACACACACACTGACACTCATAGACTCTTACTGACACTCATAGACTCACACTGACACTCATAGACTCACACTGACACTCATAGACTCACACACTGACACACATAGACTCACATTTACACTCATAGACTCACACTGACACTCATAGACTCTCTTACTGACACTCACAGACTCACATTGACACTCATAGACTCACACACTGACACTCATAGACTCACACACTGACACTCATAGACTCACACTGACACTCATAGACTCACACTGACACTCATATACTCACACACTGACACTCATAGACACACACTGACACTCATAGACACACACTGACACTCATAGACTCACACTGACACTCATAGACTCACACTGACACTCATAGACTCACACACTGACACTTATAGACTCACACACTGACACTCGCAGACTCACACACTGACACTCATAGACTCACGCTGACACTCATAGACTCACACACTGGCACTCATAGACTGACACACTGACACTCATAGACTCACACACTGACACTCATAGACTCACACGCTGACACTCGCAGACTCACACACTGACACTCATAGACTCACACTGACACGCATAGACTCACACACTGCCACTCATAGACTCACACACTGACACTCATAGACTCACACTGACAGTCATAGACTCACACACTGACACTCATAGACTCACACTGACACTCATAGACTAATACACTGACACTCATATACTCACACACTGACACTCATAGACTCACACTGACACTCATAGACTCACACTGACACTCATAGACTCACACACTGACACTCATAGACTCACACACTGACACTCATAAACCATCACACACACTCATAGACTCACCTACTTACCCAGCCTCCCACTAATTCACTCACCCACTCACTCACCCACTCACCCAGCCACCCACTCACGCACCCAGTAACCCATTCACTCACCCACTCACTCACTCACCCACTCACCCATTCACCCACCCACTCACCCAGTCACTCACCCACTCACCTACCCACTCACCCACTCACTCACCCACTCACCCAGCCACCCACTCACTCACGCAGTCACCCACTCACCCACTCACCCAGTCACCCACTCACCCAGTCACCCACCCACTCACCCAGTCACCCACTCACTCACTCACCCACTCACTCACTCACCCACCCACTCACCCAGTCACCCGCTCACTCACCCACTCACTCACTCACCCACTCACCCAGTCACCCGCTCACTCACCCACTCACTCACTCACCCACTCACCCAGTCGCCCACTCACTCACCCACCCAACACCACAGTAGGCACTATGCCTAAGGCCTACGAAAGGAAAACAAATGGCTGACCATGTTGATTATTGTGTGCATGATGACAAAAATGTAACCAAGATATCATCTCCAAATATTTCTCGGCTAACCTAGGTTCGTTTTTCTTTCTCCTCTTGCAAATAATGTCAAATGAAATCGGCTCATCCCCGTCACACCGTGCGTGCCAGCGCTCTGCTGCGTGTCTCGTTGGGGGCACTAGAGACTGGAATAATGAAACGGTGGCAGTGGTGACGACGTCCAGCGGAGCGGACCCAGGTTCCGCGTGAGAAACCAGCGGAGTCACAGTGGTCGTGACACGGGGCAGCAGCCAGTAGCGACTTTTGGAAAGTTATCACCTAATGCCCTGCGGAACCAGAAGTGCCTAGGGACTACAATAATCCTAGTCCACCACCATCAGCATTAACACCACCACCTCCATCTCACCATCAGCGTTAACACCACCACCACCATCACCACCACCACCATCAGCATTAACACCACCACCACCATCTCACCATCAGCGTTAACACCACCACCACCATCACCACCACCACCATCAGCATTAACACCACCACCACCATCTCACCATCAGCGTGAACACCACCATCTCACCATCAGCGTTAACACCACCATCACCACCACCACCTCCATCTCACCATCAGCGTTAACACCACCACCACCACCATCACCACCACCATCAGCATTAACACCACCACCATCTCACCATCAGTGTGAACACCACCATCTCACAATCAGCGTTAACACCACCACCATCTCACCATCAGCATTAACACCACCACCACCACCACCACCTCACCATCAGCATTAACACCACCACCATCTCACCATCAGCATTAACACCACCACCACCACCACCATCTCACCATCAGCATTAACACCACCACCACCACCACCATCTCACCATCAGCATTAACACCACCACCACCACCAACTCACCATGAGCATTACCACCACCACCACCACCATCTCACCACCACCACCATCTCACCATCAGCATTGACACCACCACCACCATCAGCATTAACACCACCACCACCTCCATCTCACCATCAGCATTGACACCACCACCACCAGCATTGACACCACCACCACCACCACCATCTCACCACCAGCATTGACACCACCACCACCACCATCTCACCACCACCACCATCTCACCATCAGCATTGACACCACCACCACCATCAGCATTAACACCACCACCATCACCTCCATCTCACCATCAGCATTGACACCACCACCACCAGCATTGACACCACCACCACCACCATCTCACCACCAGCATTGACACCACCACCACCACCACCATCTACACCACCACCACCACCATCTACACCACCACTGTCACAGCAATCACCACCACCACTGTCACAGCAATCTCCAACAACACCACCAGCACTGTCACAGCAATCACCACCACCACCACTGTCACAGCAACACCACCACCACCACCACCACTGGCACAGCAATCTCCACCACCACCACCACCACCACTGTCACAGCAATCTCCACCACCACCACCACCACCACTGTCACAGCAATCTCCACCACCACCACCACTGTCACAGCAATCACCACCACTTTCACAGCAATCACCACCACCACCACCACCACTGTCACAGCAATCACCACCACCACCACTTTCACAGCAATCTCCACCACCACCACTGTCACAGCAATCACCACCACCACTGTCACAGCAATCTCCACCACCACCACCACCACTGTCACAGCAATCACCACCACCACCACCACCACTTTCACAGCAATCTCCACCACCACCACTGTCACAGCAATCACCACCACCACTATCTCTTCTACCACCACCACCACCACCACTGTCACAGCAATCACCACCACCACTGTCACAGCAAGCACCACCACCACCACCACCACTGTCACAGCAATCACCACCACCACCACCACTGTCACAGCAATCTCCACCACCACCACCACCACTGTCACAGCAATCTCCACCACCACCACCACTGTCACAGCAATCTCCACCACCACCACCACCACTTTCACAGCAATCACCACCACCACTGTCACAGCAATCTCCACCACCACCACTGTCACAGCAATCACCACCACCACTGTCACAGCAATCTCCACCACCACCACTGTCACAGCAATCACCACCACCACCACCACTTTCACAGCAATCTCCACCACCACCACTGTCACAGCAATCACCACCACCACTATCTCTTCTACCACCACCACCACCACCACTGTCACAGCAATCATCACCACCACTGTCACAGCAATCACCACCACCACCACCACTGTCACAGCAATCACCACCACCACCACTGTCACAGCAATCTCCACCACCACCACCACCACTGTCACAGCAATCTCCACCACCACCACCACCACTGTCACAGCAATCTCCACCACCACCACCACCACCACTTTCACAGCAATCACCACCACCACTGTCACAGCAATCTCCACCACCACCACTACCACCACTGTCACAGCAATCACCACCACCACCACCACCACTGTCACAGCAATCTCCACCACCACCACCACTGTCACAGCAATCACCACCACTACCACCACTGTCACAGCAATCACCACCACCACCACTGTCACAGCAATCACCACCACCACTGTCACAGCAATCACCACCACTGTCAGAGCAATCTCCACCACCACCACTGTCACAGCAATCTCCACCACCACCACCACTGTCACAGCAATCTCCACCACCACCACCACCACTGTCACAGCAATCACCACCACCACCACCACTGTCACAGCAATCACCACCACCACTGTCACAGCAATCACCACCACCACCACCACTGTCACAGCAATCACCACCACCACTGTCACAGCAATCACCACCACCACCACCACTGTCAGAGCAATCTCCACCACCACCACTGTCACAGCAATCTCCACCACCACCACTGTCACAGAAATCTCCACCACCACCACTGTCACAGCAATCACCACCACCACTGTCACAGCAATCACCACCACCATCTCTTCTACCACCACCACCACCACTGTTACAGCAATCTCCACCACCATCTTTCCTCGCTTGTGCTGCCTCTGGGCCTCATGCTGTGGTCTGGGGATCGCTCTGTGATTCCAGTTGCTGCTTTGTCCGACCAGATCGGACCCGGATCGTACCGGGGACCAGACCGGATCGGATTGTACTGGGAACCGGACCGGATCGTACCTGGGACCGGATCGGATTACACCGGGATCTGGACCGGATTCTACCAGAGACCAGACTGGATTTGATCGCACCAGGGCAAAGACCGGATCGCACCAGTGACCGGACCGGATTGGATTTCATCATACCAGGGATCAGATCGAACCTGTTCGGATTTTACCGCAGACCGGATCGGATTGCACCGGGCCCTGGATCTGATTTGAGAGAGCAGACAGTCTCACCCAGGAAGGGATGGACTCGAACCGCTTCGGAGATATTGGACCGGAAAATCGGATCGGAGAGGATTGCCGAATCGGAGACGGGTTTTTCATGCCAGATAGTCGCCCGCCTAGTGGCATAGCCAGCCAACTAGTCACCCGGATGTCCAGTTATCCACTTGGTCACCTAGCTAGTCACCCTCCCAGACAGTAGCCCGTCTAATGTATCAGCCACCGAGTTAGTCATCTAGCCAACCACCCACCCAGTTCGTCACACATTTAGCCATCGGCGTAGTCACCCACCCAGCTAGTTAAACATTAAGTCATCTATTTAATGGCCCAGCCATTTAGTCACCCAATTAATCGTCTGCTGAGTCACCCACCAGTTAGTCACCCACCAGCCATTACCATGGGTAAGTCACCCAGATAGCCAACTCCCAACCGAGTCACCCACCCAAGCGAGTCGCCCATCAAGTCGCCCGTCGAGTCACCTGTCAAGTCACCCGACAAGTCGCCCAACAAGTCGCCCGTCAAGTCGCCTGTCAAGTCACCCACCCAAGCAAGTCGCCCGTCAAGTCGCCCGTCAAGTCGCCCGTCGAGTCACCCATCGAGTCACCCGTCAAGTCACCCGACAAGTCGCCCAACAAGTCGCCCGTCAAGTCGCCTGTCAAGTCACCCACCCAAGCAAGTCACCCGTCAAGTCACCCGACAAGTCGCCCAACAAGTCGCCCGTCAAGTCGCCTGTCAAGTCACCCACCCAAGCAAGTCGCCCGTCAAGTCGCCCGTCAAGTCGCCCGTCGAGTCACCCATCGAGTCACCCGACAAGTCGCCCAACAAGTCGCCCATCAAGTCGCCTGTCAAGTCACCCACCCAAGCAAGTCGCCCGTCAAGTCGCCCGTCAAGTCGCCCGTCAAGTCACCCGTAGAGTCGCCCTGCGAACGGGTGGAGCGGCGGCGCTGGAGACTTGGCACGCGGTGGTGCCAGGAGGGGGGGGGGCAGTCACCGGGCGGTGGTGCCGGGAGGGGGGGGGGGCAGTCACCGGGTGGTGGTGCCGGTCCTTGGTGAGAAGCCGGGGAGAGCCGCGGGGAGAGCCGCGGGGAGAGCCGCGGGGAGAGCCGCGGGGAGAGCCGCGGGGAGAGCCGCGGGCAGCGCTTGCCGCAGCTCAGAACGATCCGCCCGCCGCTCCGTAAGGTCAGTGTCCCCACCCCTACCCCCCGTGAGCTGGTGGTGTGGGCAAGGCTGAGAGAGCGGCGGTGGCAGCGGTGGCAGCGGCTGGGCTCCACCACCGCCACCGCCACCACCGCCACCACCACCGCCACCACCACCACCACCACCACCGCCACCACCACCGCCACCACCACCACCACCGCCACCACCACCAGCGTGTCCGAGTTGCTGCTGGGTTAAGGTGGGCAAAAGGAGAGTTGGGGAGTAGAGGGGACATCGCCACTTAGAAGGATGACCACCCACTACCATGATCATCGTTGTCGTCGACATGATCATCAACATCATCGTCGTCGTAATCATCTTCGTCGTCATCATCAACATCATCGTCGTCATCATCATCAACATCTTCATCGTCGTCATCATCAACATCATCGTCATCATCATCATCGTCGTTGTAATCATCGTCGTCGTCTATCAACATCATCGTCGTCATCATCATTATTTGTATTTTCATCATCGTCTCCACTTTGAAGAATAACCATTCCACACCTTCATCGTCAGCATCATTCATCATCATTGTCGCCGTCAACAATATTATCGGACGTCAAGTAACATTTCTGCACCTCTGATTGGTGCGGTTGGTTACGTACGGTGCAAAAGAAGTTCAACTTAAAAGCAAAACATACACGCACACACACATACACGCACACGCACACACACTCACACGCACACACTCACACTCACTCACGCACACACACGCACACACGCACACTCACTGACACACACACACACAACAACAACAACCGCCATTCACCACTAAGTGGCGGTAACGTCACCACGACGCTTGTGCCAGGCTATGTGCACCCTGAGGCCACGTGAAGTGTCGAACGCCCGCTGGCAGGAGGTCACGGGGCAGACCCAGGTGCCACGGGTCGACTGACTGAGATGACTGGCTGATGCACCACCTGTGCACCCTACTGTGCCAACCTGCTGTGCTTTAGCCACCCGGCGCTCCGCTCGTTGTTGTGAGCGTCGCTCCTCCGCCCTCCGTTGTTGTTGGAGGGCGACTACCTCCAACTGCCCAGTAGCGTCCTTCACGAGCCTCCTCCACAGAGGCCGATCTTGACACCGCTGGTACCAGTCATCGGCAAGTCCACTCAGCTCCACGTCCTCCTGTACCACATCACTCCATCTCTTCTCTAGCCCGTGCCGCGCCCGTTTAGCCCCCTCAATCCGGCCGAACAAAAGCTGTTTCGGCATGCGGTGGCTGGGCATGCGAGCTACATGACCCAGCCATCGCAGCCTTGGCCGCCGGAGGAGCTCACCAATGGGACCTTGCCCAGATCTTTCAAGGATTTGTGAGCTCCTCACACAATCCAGTCTGGTTAAACCCAGGATGGATCGTAGGCAGGCCAGCCTAAATGTTTCTAACCGGCGAAGATGTTTCATTAGGGGGGTCCACGTTTCGCAAGCGTAGAGAAGGGAGGGAATGACCGTGGCCGAGAAGACCTGAAGCTTAATGCGGAGCGACAGACCAGGTAGCTTCCACACAGCGACATGCAACCGATGAAAATATATTGCCGCTCGACTGATTCGGAGTGAGACCTCTGCTGTTAAACTGGAGCCGGTCGTAAGCACACTGCCCAGGTATGGGAAACTCTCCACTCGCTCCACAACTGCCCCATCACCGATTGGGAGTTGTGGGGGTGGAGTGTCCGATGGTACAAAATACCCAGGCAGGTGCTTAGTTTTGGTGGGGCTGATGGTAAGGCCCCTCCTCTTAGTGGCACGCTCCAGTCTCAGCAGCAGCGTCTCCAACTCCTCCTCTGAATGAGCAGCTATTACAAAATCATCAGCATACGTAACGTGGTTGAGCAATAGGGAGCCATCCCTTGACCGCACCCGGGCATCGATCAGCCTCCCATTATATCTGTACCATATGGAGATTCCCCCGGTACAGCTATTGAAGGCTTCACGAACTGCGTGGTCAAAATAGATGTTAAATAATGTGGGAGCCAGAGGACATCCCTGTCGCACCCCAAGGTGTACAGGGAATGGCTCTGACTCCCGGCCACGTAGTTTTACCCGGGCCCGCTCACCATCATGAAGGTCCTTAATGATCGTGAGCAGAGGGTCAGGTACTCCAAAAGCACGAAGAATATCCCAGAGCCCAGGCCTACTGATGGTATCATAGGCCTTGACCAGGTCAATAAAGCAGGGATGTAGGTCTTGTGGGAATTCCCTATACCTCTGCTGTAGCAGACGGACAAAAAATATGGCATCTGTGCAGGACCGCCCTTTCCTGAAACCGCATTGGGGCTCCACAAGCCTCTCCTCAGCGTGCCTGGCAAGGCGATGTTGAATAATCCTTGCCAGGACCTTTTCCGGCACACTGAGGAGTGAGATGCTCCTGTAGTTGTCACTGTCTGTGCGGTCCCCCTTCTTAAAAAGGGGGACCACCAGGGCATCCTTCCAATCCTGCGGAACCCGTCCAGTGGTCCAGACTGTTGTTGTGATGTCATATAGGGCAGTCTATGCACAAACACCACCCTCCCTCAGCATTTCGCTTGGGAGATCATCTCTGCTCGCTGCCTTTCCTGATCTCAGACTCCGGATCGCCTTCAGTACTTCCTCAACAGATGGCACCTCAACCAGCCACTCACAGGGGGTGACTTCTTCCAATATTTGAGGCACCGCAGCCTCAGCAGGGTCATCTTCACTTTGTGCCACGATGTTTTCCTGGCTGAGGGATTTTCCTTCCCCCAGGACCTCACAGAAATGCTCAGCAAATCTGCAAACCTGTTCCTGGGGGTCGGAGATTGGATCACCGTTTTTTCCCCATAATGATGGTAATAGGTGTGGCGCTGCAGGTTACTTTTTTGATGGAGTTAAATAGAGATTTGTGATCACGGGCCACTGAGGCAGACTCCATCTCCTCAGCAACCCGCGACCACCACCCATCCTTGCAGCGCCTCACGGCTCTCCGAACTTCCGAGCAAAGGCTTCGGTAAGCCTCCTCATTCTCTGACGTGGGATTCTGTAGCCGATGACAGTGGGCCTATCGCTTTTTCTCAACCATCCTGAACACCTCCTCTGTCAGCCAGGGTCTCTGGGGAGGTCTGGACCGCGTACCCAAAGCAGCCATTGCAGCTGTATGAGTCACAGTCCTAAACCTCGCCCATTTACCCTCGACATCAGGAGGAGTCGGGGACAATGCCAATCCCAGCCGCAACTTTCATCAGATAACTTTCATCAGATAACTGAACTGAGACCAGGCCACTTTAGGTTGGAATGGGGTCCTGGGTGTACACCCACCACCGGAGTGGAAGAATGGCAGGCGCATCTTACAGATGACTAGTCGATGGTCAGAGGGTAGATCAGCTCCACGGTAGGTCCTGGTGTCAAGGACATGGGCTCGCATACGGTGGTCCGTCACTATGTAGTCCAGCAGATGTTCTTGCTTGGACCCGGCATGCATCCATGATGTTGTGTGGATGCGCCGATGCCGGAACAGCGTGTTGGTAATTACAAGCCCGTGGGCTGCACAAAAATCTAGCAGCCTCCTACCGTTGTTATTGGGCTGATCTGGCCCATGCCCTCCAATCACTCCAGACCAGGTGCCAGCATCATGACCAACTCGGGCATTGAAGTCACCCATCATGATGACTCTATCCCGAGGGGCCACTTCAGCCAGCACCTGTGACAGGAGGTCAAAGAAGGCATCTGACTCATCGGCTTTGCCTGCATCCCTCCACGGATGTTCATCTTCGGTGAGGGCATAAGTAACCACGACCACCATTCCTCGCCTCCGGTTGATGGGAAGGCGAGCCCAAAATAGCCTGGGGCTTACAGCTTCCCACACCTCACCGCCACGCTCCCACGCCCCCTTCATTCTTTTGTTCAAAAGAAGAGCCACACCCTGTTGTTTGGCAGTCTGCTGCCCCGAGTAGACGACTGTCCACCCCTCACGGTGGCAGGAGCCAGAACCGGGCCACCGGACCTCCTGAATGCCACATAGATCCAGGCGGTACCGGTCCAGCTCCCGACAGAGGAGTGGCAGCCTCTCCTCCGCAGTAAGCGTTCGAACATTCCACGTGGCCACCCATAGTGGTTTTTCGTTGTTTCTGGAGGAGCCCCATGGGTAGATATTCAATCTCCTGGCTCCGCCAATTGGGGTTTGGCCAGGAGACGTCATAGACGCCTGGCCCCCAGGGGCCTCCGGCACAAGCGTATTAGTTATATACTTAATTCGCGGTTTAGTGGTAATTAATTGAAGGTGGAGGGGTTACCAGCCCCTCAGACCCGTACAGAGCCCCCGTTTAGCCCCTGTGGTGGGCACAGATGCCATGAGGGGAGGAGCCAATCGAAATTGGACCTCTCCCCACAGCACTGTCCACGACAGAGTTGCCCGTCCGGCACCGCGAGGAGGTAGGGGGTTGTTTTTGCCGGCACACACACACTCACACACACACACAACAACAACACAACAACCGCCGTTCGCCACTAAGTGACGGTGACGTCACCACGACGCTTGTGCCAGGCTATGTGCACCCTGAGGCCACGTGAAGTGTCGAACGCCCGCTGGCAGGAGGTCACGGGGCAGACCCAGGTGCCACGGGTCGACTGACTGAGATGACTGGCTGATGCACCACCTGTGCCCCCTACTGTGCCAAGCTGCTGTGCTTTAGCCACCCGGCGCTCCGCTCGTTGTTGTGAGCGTCGCTCCTCCGCCCTCCGTTGTTGTTGGAGGGCGACTACCTCCAACTGCCCAGTAGCATCATTCACGAGCCTCCTCCACAGAGGCCGATCTTGACACCGCTGGTACCAGTCATCGGCAAGTCCACTCAGCTCCACGTCCTCCTGTACCACATCACTCCATCTCTTCTCTAGCCCATGCCGCGCCCGCTTTGCCCCCTCAATCCGGCCGAACAAAAGCTGTTTCAGCATGCAGTGGCTGGGCATGCGGGCTACATGACCCAGCCATCGCAGCCTTGCCCGCCGGAGGAGCTCACCGATGGGACCTTGCCCAGATCTTTCAAGGATTTGTGAGCTCCTCACACAATCCAGTGTGGTTAAACCCAGGATGGATCGTAGGCAGGCCAGCCTAAATGTTTCTAACCGGCGAAGATGTTCCATTAGGGGGGTCCACGTTTCGCAAGCGTAGAGAAGGGAGGGAATGACCATGGCCGAGAAGACCTGAAGCTTAGTGCGGAGCGACAGACCAGGTAGCTTCCACACAGCGTTACGCAACCGATGAAAAGATATTGCCGCTCGACTGATTCGGAGTGAGACCTCTGCTGTTAAACTGGAGCCAGTCATAAGCACACTGCCCAGGTATGGGAAACTCTCCACTCGCTCCACAACTGCCCCATCACCGATTGGGAGTTGTGGGGGTGAAGTGTCCGATGGTACAAAATACCCAGGCAGGTGCTTAGTTTTGGTGGGGTTGATGGTTAGGCAACTCTGTCGTAGACAGTGCTGTGGGGTGAGATCCAATTTTGATTGGCTCCTCCCCTCATGGCATATGTGTCCACCGCAGGGGCTAAACGGGGGCTCTGGACGGGTGCGAGGGGCTGGTAACCCCTCGACCTTCAATTAATTACCACGAAACCACGAGTTAAACTGAAATATGTAACACACACACACTCATACACACACACACGCACACACGCACAGACGCACAGACGTACACATACACGCACTCACACGCACACTCACACACACGCACACACGTACACACACACGCACACACATGACGGAACAACATTCATCCAGGAGATCGTAAGGAGCCATTGACTGACCGCCGATGCTTTTGGAATAAGCTGCAGTAGGACTACCAGTAGGATTATCCAGTAGGATTATCCAGTAGGACTACCCAGTAGGACTACCCAGTAAGATTATCCAGTAGGACTACCCAGTAGGATCATCCAGTAGGACTACCCAGTAGGACTACCCAGTAGGACTACCCAGTAGAACTATCAGTAGGACTACCCAGTAGGACTACCCAGTAGGATTATCCAGTAGGCCTACCCAGTAGGACTACCAGTAGGACTACCAGTAGGACTACCCAGTAGGATTATCCAATAGGACTACGCAGTAGGATTATCCAGTAGGACTATCAGTAGGACTACCCAGTAGGACTACCAGTAGGACTACCCAGTAGGACTACCCAGTAGGACTACCAGTAGGATTATCCAGTAAGACTACCCAGTAATGTTATCCAGTTGGATTATCCAGTAGGACTACCCAGTAGGACTATCAGTAGGACTACCCAGTAGGACTATCAGTAGGACTACCCAGTAGGATTATCCAGTAGGATTATCCAGTAGGACTACCCAGTAGTATTATCTAGTAGGACTATCCAGTAGGACTACCCAATAGGATTATCCAGTAAGACTACCCAGTAGGACTACCAGTAGGACTATCTGGTAGGACAATGCAGTGGGACTATGCAGTGGGACTATCTGCAGGGATTATGCAGTGGGACTGTCTGCTAGGACTATCTAGAGGGTACCTGATGCCCATTGAGAGAATCTCTCAGCTGGTGCCAGTGAGTCAAAGAGAGCTCCTTTGGAAGATAATTGCCAACTTCTGTGGCGTGTGGTGTGTGTGGTGTGTGTGTGTTGTGTGTGGTGTGTGTGGTGTGTGTGGTGTGGTGTGTGTGTGGTGCGTGTATGTGGTGTGTGTGGTGTGGTGTGTGTGTGTGTGGTGTGTGTGGTGTGTGTGTGGTGTGTGTGGTGTGTGTGGTGTGTGTGTGGTGTGTGTATGTTGTGTGTGGTGTGTGTGTGTGTGGTGTGTGTGGTGTGGTGTGTGTGTGTGTGTGGTGTGTGTATGTGGTGTGTGTGGTGTGTGTGTGGTGTGTGTGGTGTGTGTGCGGTGTGTGTGGTGTGTGTGGTGTGTGTGTGGTGTCTGTGTGTGTGGTGTGTGGTGTGTGGTGTCTGTGTGTGTGGTGTGTGGTGTGTGTGTGGTATGTGTGTGTGGTATGTGGTGTGTGTGTGTGGTGTGTGTGTGTTGTGTGTGTGTTGTGTGTGTGTGGTGTGTTTGTGGTGTGTGTTGTGTGTGTGGTGTGTGTGGTGTGTGTGGTGTGTGTGTGTGTGTGGTGTGGTGTGTGTGTGATGTGTGTGTGTGTGGTGTATGTGGTGTGTGTGTGGTGTGTGTGGTGTGTGTGCTGTCTGTTTGTGTGGTGTGTGTGTGGTGTGCGTGTGGTGTGTGGTGTGTGTGGCGTGTGAGTGGTGTGTGTGAGGTGAGTGGTGTATGTGTGGTGTGTGTGGGTGTGTGTGTGGTGTATGTGTGGTGTGTGTGTGGTGTCTGTGTGAGTGGTGTGTGTGGTGTGTGTGGTGTGGGTGTGGTGTGTGTGTGGTGTGGTGTGTGTGTGGTGTGGTGTGTGTGTGGTGGTGTGTGTGGCATGTGGTATGTGTGTGTGGTGTGGTGTGTGTGGTGTATGTGGTGTGTGTGTGGTGTGGTGTGTGGTGTGTGTGGTATGTGTGTGGTGTGTGGTGTGTGTGTGGTATGTGTGTGTGGTGTGTGTGATGTGTGTGGTGTGTGTTGTGTGTGTGGTGTGTGTGTGGTGTGTGTGGTGTGTGTGTGGTGTGTGGTGTGTGTGGTGTGTGTGGTGTGCTGTGTGTGTGGTGTGTGGTGTGTGTGTGTGTGGTGTGTGTGGTGTATGTGGTGTGTGTGTGTGGTGTGTGTGGTGTGTGTGGTGTCTGTTTGTGTGGTGTGCGTGTGGTGTGTGGTGTGTGTGTGGCGTGTGAGTGGTGTGTGTGGTGAGTGGTGTATGTGTGGTGTGTGTGGGTGTGTGTGTGGTGTGTGGTGTCTGTGTGTGTGGTGTGTGTGGTGTGTGTGGTGTGTGTGGTGTCTGTGTGAGTGGTGTGAGTGGTGTGTGTGGTGTGTGTGTGGTGTGTGTGTGGTGTGGTGTGTGTGTGGTTGTGTGTGTGGTGGTGTGTGTGGTGTGTGTATGTGCGGTGTCTGTGTGGTGTCTGTGTGGTGTGTGTGGTGTGTGTGTGGTGTGGTGTGGTGTGTGTGTGGTATGTGGTGTGTATGTGGTGTTTGTGTGGTGTCTGTGTGGTGTGTGTGGTGTGTGTGTGGTGTGGTGTGGTGTGTGTGTGGTATGTGGTGTGTATGTGGTGTTTGTGTGGTGTGTGATGTGTGTGTGGTGTGTGCATTTCCACCAGCAGATCTGGTCCATGTAGGAGTGAGTGGCGTGTGAAGACCGCTGGACTTCTGGAGGTTGTTGTGGAGTCCCAGCAGAGATCCTTTTGAGGAACCCCAAAGGCCTTAGTGGCAATGCTGCTGCTTACCAATCCTCAGACTACGAAAGGTCGCTACTAAGGGACCTGTGGACTCCCAGAGAACCTGCGGACCCTGCTTGAGTGACCTGTTGGGTCACAGTCCACGGGATCCGTGGACTCCCAGAGAACCTGCGGACCTGCTGGAGTGTCCGGTTGGTCACAGCCCACAAGACCCGTGGACTCCCAGAGGACCTGTGGACCCGCTTGAGTGACCTGTTGGGTCACAGTCCACGGGATCCGTGGACTCCCAGAGAACCTGTGGACCCTGCTTGAGTGACCTGTTGGGTCACAGTCCACGGGACCTGTGGACTCCCAGAGGACCTGTGGACCCTGCTGGAGTGTCCGGGTGGTCACAGCCCACAAGACCCGTGGACTCCCAGAGAACCTGCGGACCCTGCTTGAGTGACCTGTTGGGTCACAGTCCACGGGATCCGTGGACTCCCAGAGAACCTGCGGACCTGCTGGAGTGTCCGGTTGGTCACAGCCCACAAGACCCGTGGACTCCCAGAGAACCTGTGGACCCTGCTTGAGTGACCTGTTGGGTCACAGTCCACGGGACCTGTGGACTCCTAGAGAACCTGTGGACCTGCTGGAGTGTCCTGTTGGGTCACAGCCCACAAGACCCGTGGACTCCCAGAGAACCTGTGGACCCCGCTTGAGTGGCGGTCTGGTCACAGATCACGGGATCCGTGGACTCTCTATGAGAGTCTCCACCCTCAAAGTCTGTCGTGAGAGTGCCCGCGATGTCTCCTCGCTGGGCCTGCTGCCTTCTCCTGTCCGCAATCATCTCCGCCATCATCTTCTGTATCGGCCTCCGTCTCCTGCGGGAAGGTGAGGATTACGTCACGTCGCCTGACCGTCACCGGGGAACTCCAAATCGTCGTCGTGACGGTGGTGACGGTGGCGATGGTGATGATGGTGTTGATGATGCTTGTGATGGTGTTAACGGTGTTGGTGATGATAATGTTGATGATGCTTGTGATGGTGTTAACGGTGGTGGTGATGATGATGTTGATGATGCTTGTGATGGTGTTAACGGTGGTGATGATGATGTTGATGATGCTTGTGATGGTGTTAACGGTGGTGGTGGTGATGATGATGTTGATGATGTTTGTGATGGTGTTAACGGAGGTGATGATGATGATGTTGATGATGCTTGTGATGGTGTTAACGGTGGTGATGGTGATGATGTTGATGATGCTTGTGATGGTGTTAACGGTGGTGATGATGATGTTGATGATGCTTGTGATGGTGTTAACGGTGGTGATGGTGATGATGTTGATGATGCTTGTGATGGTGTTAACGGTGGTGATGATGATGTTGATGATGCTTGTGATGGTGTTAACGGTGGTGATGATGATGTTGATGATGTTTGTGATGGTGTTAACGGTGGTGATGATGTTGATGATGCTTGTGATGGTGTTAACGGTGGTGATGATGAGGTTGATGATGCTTGTAATGGTGTTAACGGTGGTGGGGATGATGATGTTGATGATGCTTGTGATGGTGTTAACGGTGGTGATGGTGATGATGTTGATAATGCTTGTTATGGTGTTAACGGTGGTGATGATGATGTTGATGATGCTTGTGATGGTGTTAACGGTGGTGATGATGATGTTGATGATGCTTGTGATGGTGTTAACGGTGGTGATGATGATGTTGATGATGCTTGTGATGGTGTTAACGGTGGTGATGATGATGTTGATGATGCTTGTGATGGTGTTAACGGTGGTGGTGATGATGATGTTGATGATGCTTGTGATGGTGTTAACGGTGGTGATGATGATGTTGATGATGCTTGTGATGGTGTTAACGGTGGTGATGATGATGTTGATGATGCTTGTGATGGTGTTAACGGTGGTGATGATGATGTTGATGATGCTTGTAATGGTGTTAACGGTGGTGATGATGATGTGGATGATGCTTGTGATGGTGTTAACGGTGGTGATGATGATGTTGATGATGCTTGTGATGGTGTTAACTGTGGTGGTGATGATGATGTTGATAATGCTCGTGATGGTGCTGATGGTATTGATGGTGCTGATGTTGATGATGCTCGTGATGGTGGTGATGGTAGTGATGGTGATGATGTTGATGGTGCTGACGGTGGTGATGTTGATGATGCTCATGATGGTGCTGATAGTGGAGATGTTGATGATCATCGTGATGGTGGTGATGGTGCTGATGTTGGTAATGCTCGTGATGGTGGTGATGGTAGTGATGGTGATGATGTTGATGATGCTCGTGATGGTGGTGATAGTGCTGATGTTGGTAATGCTCGTGATGGTGGTGATGGTAGTGATGGTGATGATGTTGATGATGCTGATGGTGGTGATGTTGATGATGCTCGTGATGGTGCTGATAGTGGAGATGTTGATGATCCTCGTGATAGTGGTGATGGTGATGATGTTGATAATGCTCGTGATGGTGCTGTCGGTGGTGATGGTGATGATGATGTTGATGATGCTCGTGATAGTGGTGATAGTAGTGATGGTGATGATGGTGTTGATGCAGACGGTGGTGGTGTTAATGTTGTTGATGGTGGTGGTGTTGATGTAGAAGGTGGTGGTGTTGATGCAGATGGTGGTGTTGATGTAGACGGTGGTGGTGTTGATGTAGATGGTGGTGGTGGTGTTAATGTAGATGGTGGTGGTGTTGATGTAGATAATGGTGCAGTTGTTGACGATGGTAGTGGTGTTGATGTAGGTGGTGGTGTTGATGGTGGTGGTGTTGTTGTAGATGGTGGTGGTGTTGATCTAGATGGTGGTGGTGTTGATGTCGATGGTGGTGGTGTTGATGTAAATGGTGGTGGTGTTGATGTAGATGGTGGTGTTGATGTAGATGGTGGTGGTGTTGTTGACGATGGTGGTGTTGTTGATGTAGATGGTGGTGGTGTTGATGTAGATGGTGGTGGTGTTGATGTAGAAGGTGGTGGTGGTGTTGTTGACGATGGTGGTGGTGTTGATGTAGGTGGTGGTGGTGTTGATGTAGATGGTGGTGGTGTTGTTGACGATGGTGGTGGTGTTGATGTAGATGGTGGTGGTGTTGATGTAGAAGGTGGTGTTGTTGACGATGGTGGTGGTGTTGATGCAGATGGTGGTGGTGTTGATGTAGAAGGTGGTGGTGTTGACGATGGTGGTGGTGTTGATGCAGATGGTGGTGGTGTTGTTGACGATGGTGGTGGTGTTGATGTAGATGGTGGAGGTGTTGATGTAGATGGTGGTGTTGATGGTGGTGATGTTGTTGTAGATGGTGGTGGTTTTGACCTAGATGGTGGTGGTGTTGATGTCCATGGTGGTGGTGTTGATGTAAATGGTGGTGGTGTTAATGTAGATAGTGGTGTTCTTGATGTAGATGATGGTGGTGTTAATGCAGATGATGGTGGTGTTGATGTAGATGGTGGTGGTGTTGATGTAGATGTGGTAGTGTTGATGTAGATGGTGGTGGTGTTGATGTAGATGGTGGTGGTGTTGATGTAGATGGTGGGGGTGTTGATGTAGATGGTGGTGGTCTTGATGTAGATGGTGGTGGTGTTGATGTAGAAGGTGGTGGTGTTGACAATGGTGGTGGTGTTGATGTAGGTGGTGGTGGTGTTGATGTTGATGGTGGTGGTATTGATGTAGATAGTGGTGGTCTTGATGTAGATGATGGTAGTGTTGATGTAGATGGTGGTGGTGTTGATGTAGAAGGTGGTGGTGTTGTTGTAGACGGTGTTGGTGTTGATGTAGATGGTGGTGGTGTTGATGTAGATGGTGGTGGTGTTGATGGTGTGATGTTGTTGTAGATGGTGGTGGTTTTGATCTAGATGGTGGTTGTCTTGATGTCCATGGTGGTGGTGTTGATGTAAATGGTGGTGGTGTTGATGTAGGTGGTGGTGGTGTTAATGTTGATGGTGGTATTGATGTAGATAGTGGTGTTCTTGATGTAGATGATGGTGGTGTTGATGTAGATGGTGGTGGTGTTGATGTAGATGGGGGTGGTCTTGATGTAGTTGGTGGTGGTGTTGATGTAGATGGTGGTGGTGGTGATGGTGGTGGTGTTGTTGTAGATGGTGGTGGTTTTGATCTAGATGGGGGTGTTGATGTCGATGGTGGTGGTGTTGATGTAGAAGGTGGTGGTGTTGATGTAGATCGTGGTGGTGTTGATGTAGATCGTGGTGGTGTTGATGTTGAACGTGGTGGTGTTGATGTAGACGGTGGTGGTCTTGATGTAAATGGTGGTGGTGTTGATGTAGATGGTGGTGGTGTTGTTGTAGAAGGTGGTGGTGTTGATGTAGACGGTGGTGGTGTTGTTAACGATGGTGGTGGTGTTGATGTAGATGGTGGAGGTGTTGATGTAGATGGTGGTGTTGATGGTGGTGATGTTGTTGTAGATGGTGGTGGTTTTGACCTAGATGGTGGTGGTGTTGATGTCCATGGTGGTGGTGTTGATGTAAATGGTGGTGGTGTTAATGTAGATAGTGGTGTTCTTGATGTAGATGATGGTGGTGTTAATGCAGATGATGGTGGTGTTGATGTAGATGGTGGTGGTGTTGATGTAGATGTGGTAGTGTTGATGTAGATGGTGGTGGTGTTGATGTAGATGGTGGTGGTGTTGATGTAGATGGTGGGGGTGTTGATGTAGATGGTGGTGGTCTTGATGTAGATGGTGGTGGTGTTGATGTAGAAGGTGGTGGTGTTGACAATGGTGGTGGTGTTGATGTAGGTGGTGGTGGTGTTGATGTTGATGGTGGTGGTATTGATGTAGATAGTGGTGGTCTTGATGTAGATGATGGTAGTGTTGATGTAGATGGTGGTGGTGTTGATGTAGAAGGTAGTGGTGTTGTTGTAGACGGTGTTGGTGTTGATGTAGATGGTGGTGGTGTTGATGTAGATGGTGGTGGTGTTGATGGTGGTGATGTTGTTGTAGATGGTGGTGGTTTTGATCTAGATGGTGGTTGTCTTGATGTCCATGGTGGTGGTGTTGATGTAAATGGTGGTGGTGTTGATGTAGGTGGTGGTGGTGTTAATGTTGATGGTGGTATTGATGTAGATAGTGGTGTTCTTGATGTAGATGATGGTGGTGTTGATGTAGATGGTGGTGGTGTTGATGTAGATGGGGGTGGTCTTGATGTAGATGTGGTAGTGTTGATGTAGATGGTGGTGGTGTTGATGCAGATGGTGGGGGTGTTGGTGTAGATGGTGGTGGTGTTGATGTAGATGGTGGGGGTGTTGATGGAGATGGTGGTGGTCTTGATGTAGTTGGTGGTGGTGTTGATGTAGATGGTGGTGGTGTTGATGTAGAAGGTGGTGGTGTTGACGATGGTGTTGATGCAGATGGTGGTGGTGTTGTTGACGATGGTGGTGGTGTTGATGTAGGTGGTGGTGGTATTGATGTAGACGGTGGTGGTGTTAATGTAGGTGGTGGTGGTGTTGATGGTGGTGGTGTTGATGTAGGTGGTGGTGGTATTGATGTAGATGGTGGTGGTGTTGATGTAGGTGGTGGTGTTGATGGTGGTGGTGTTGATGTAGGTGGTGGTGGTATTGATGTAGACGGTGGTGGTGTTGATGTAGAAGGTGGTGGTGTTGATGTAGATGGCGGTGGTGTTGACGATGGTGGTGGTGGTGTTGATGTAGATGGTGGTGGTGTTGATGTAGAAGGTGGTGGTGTTGATGTAGATGGTGGTGGTGTTGTTGACGATGGTGGTGGTGTTGATGTAGATGCTGGTCGTGTTGATGTAGATGGTGGTGCTGTTGATGTAGAAGGTGGTGGTGTTGATGTAAATGGTGGTGCTGTTGTTGACGGTGGTGGTGGTGTTGATGCAGATGGTGGTGGTGTTGATGTAGAAGGTG